CAGCACCCCTGGAGGACAGAGTAGAACTGCACCAGAGGGTTTCCAAGGCTGTCAATCTTTACAGAAGCAAAGCCCAAACCACACCCACTGCCGTGGAGTCGATTCTGACTCACAGCGCCCCTAGAGGACAGAGTGGAACTGCCTCACAGGGTTTCCAAGGCTGTCAGTCTTTACAAAAGCAGAGTGTGAGGAGCCACTACGTGGGTCCAAACTACTTACCTTTATGTTAGCAACCAAGTGCTTAGCCACTGTGCCACTACGGCTCCTTATTTACAAGAGGAGAGCTTATGTATTAAAACAATTGAAAGAGTGCAAAGCTCAGGTTTCTTTTTGAAAATAGTTTTCTATCAATTTTCCTTTTAGATTAAATGTTGCATTTTCAACAGCTATGTGAGCTCCTGGAGAAGGAAATAAAAGTGAATTATTTTTAAATGGTAATTCACTGCAGTTCTAAATGCATCAGAACAAAAGCTTAGAAGATAGCTAATTTTGATGAGCTTAAAAGGAGTCTGCCAGCTATTTAAAGGGACAAGCTTCTCTTTGAAATGTTTATCTTTCTTTCATGAAGACAGAAGATAACATTCCATGTCTACAGCTTTCATTTTCTATATTCTTTATAATAGGATTTTTATTACACACTTTATCTCCATAAAAGTTAAAACAGATGAGTATAATCTGAACTGTCTGATTTTCTGTGAAGTAATGTTCATAAGCATAATTAAAGAACACTAATACCTATATCAGAAGCTCTGGTGGCATAGTGCCTAAGGCATTTGACTGCTAACCAGAAGGCTGGTGGTTCAAACCCACCAGCCACTCTTTCAAAGGAAAACTGGGCAATCTACTTCCATAGAGATACCACCTCAGAAACCCAAGGATGGGTGGCTGTGAGTCGGATTCGACTCAACAGCAGTGAGGTGTTTTTTTTTTTTTTCTTTTTTTTCCTGCTTTAGGTAAATTTGTATATATATAGGGTTCAGATATAGCAAGGATTTTGGGACTGGCACAGGACTGGGCAGTGTTTTGTTCTGTTGTACTTAGGGTCACTATGAATCAGAGCCAAATTGATAGCACCTGATAACAACAACAATACTTATATTAGTATAAGGCGCTCTGGTGGTATAGTGCCTAAGGCATGTGATTGCTAACTATGAGGTTGGCAGTTCAAACCCACCAGCCACCCCGAGGAAGGAAGACTGGGCAATATACCTCCATAAAGATTTACTGCCTTGGATTCCAGGGACCCAAGAATAGACTCTGTTTGCCAAGGTCGGCAGGGACATATGGGAGTCTGACAATGGAAAAGGAGACAGGTGATGAGTGTATAAATGCTGCCAACTAACGAATAGAGCAGCACAGCACAGTACCCTGCTTGCGTGGATAACATACAAAGAAAAGGAAGAAAACGAAAATAGTGGCAAGTCACTCCAGTGTACAATCACCAGTTAAGTATGAACACAAAACAACACAATGTCTTGCAGACAACAGTCCATCACAGTCCACACAAAAAGCAAGATAAAGCAGGAGAAACAAGGGGCCAGGATACAGACCCAGAACACACCCCTGAGGAAGAAGCAGCTTTGGAACTCCTTGATAAGGAATTCAAAAGAATTATATTTAGGTACCTTCGGTGGGTGGAGAGATAGATCAAAGAAAACACACAGAAAATTGAGGAAAACACAGAGAAAACCCTAGAACAATTTTGAAAGACTATTCAAGAACAAAATGACAAAATAAATGAAAAATTAGAAATGATACGTAATCTGCAGATAGAAATCCAGATTTCTAAATTTTCAGGAATAGATAACACATTGAACGAGCAAAGGAGCAAAAATGAATCAATGGAAGACAGAATTAGTGAGGTTAAAGACAAATACCTGAATACTTCTTTGGAAAGGGATCAATCAGAAAAAAAGACCAAAACAAAATGAAGAAACCCTAAGGTTCATGTTGGATACCATCAAAAGGAATAACCTATGTGTGATCGGATTCTAGAACAGGAAGAGTAAAATAAAACCACTGAGAAAATTGTTGAAGATTTGTAGGAAGAGAATTTCCCTGGTATGATGAAAGATGAAAATATACCACTCAGGAAGTCCAAAGAACTCCAAACAGGGTAGACCCAAAAGAAAATCACCAAGACATATCATCATCAAACTCACCATAACCAAAGACAAAGAAAGAATCCTGAAAGCAGCATGGGAAAAACCAAAAGTTACCTAAAAGGGGCAACCAATAAGACTAACCTCGGATTTCTCAGCAGAAACCATGTAGGTGAGAAGACAAAGGGATGGTATGTATAAAACCCTGAAAGAAAAAAATTTCCAAAGAAGAATTATATACCCGGCAAAATTGTCCCTCAAATATGATGGTGAAATTAGGACATTTCCAGATATGCAGAAATTAAGGGAATTTGTTAAAACCAGACCAGCCTTACAAGAGATGCTAAAGGGAGTCCTTTGGACAGAGAACATACAACAGCAGACAACAACTGACTATTAACACACAAGATGACATAACCCAGAAACCAGCCAAGTTGTGGAAGTATCCAAAGTAAGTAAGCATATAAGATTGGGGACCAGAGACATCAATTGACAAATGAGGACAACTACAAACCAAAAAGAGGGAAAAAATTCTGTAGTTACAGAACTTCTAAATGGTAGGGAAGTCAAGACAACTGTAAAATAGAACAGACTGTTCTAAACTTGGAAAGAAAATTATAAATCACAGGGTAACCTCAAAAAGAAAAATGATAAACCTTCACATCAAAATGAAAAAGATGACCGGCGTAAGTATTTAGCAAATACTAAAACAATAGCAACAAAAGAAGTGATAGCATGATTTATAAACAAAACGAGCTCAGCACAGAAAATTATATGGAACAAAGAAATCAACAACATGAAAAAGCTCATAACAAAATGAGAGCAACAAATTCATACTTGTCAATAATTACATGTCTGATAAGTGTCTAAAATTTATAGAAAACGCCAACACCTCAATGACAAAAAACATTAACAATCCAATTAAAAAATGGGCAGAAGACATGAATAGACACTTCACCAAAGAGGATATTCAGGTGGCCAGCAAATACATGAGGAAATGCTCACGATCATTAATCATCAGAGTGATGCAAATCAGGGCAACAATGAGATACCATCTCACCCCAGTGCTAATGACAAAGTTTAACAAGACAGAAAATAACAAATGCTGGCAAGGATGTGGAGAGATTGGGACTCTCGTACTCTGCTGGTAGGACTGGCAAATAATACAACCACTGTGGAAAGCAATATGGCGATTCCTTTAAAAGCTGGGATTAGAAATATATTTGACCCAGCAATCACATTACTAGGTATATATCCTAAAGAAGTGAGGGTCAGGACAAGAACAGATACATGGACACCCGTGTTCATCATAGCACTGTTTATAACAGCAGAAAAATGGAAACAACTAGGTGCCCATCAACTGAAGAATGGATAACCAAACGATGGTACATACACACAATAGAATACTATGTAATGCTAAAGAATAACCTTGTTAGGTGCCGTTGTTAG